GGAAACGAATTCGTAGAGGAAAGTACGGATACACCACTGGACCTGGATCCAAACGAACAGATCGAAGCGGACGATGAAACCTTACCCTACGCAGAGGAAGATTGGCAGGATCCCGAACAGATAGAGGTTCCCAAGAACTTGGAACCGGATCTTCCGTTCACGATACAGACTGGTCAGAAGGACGGGACGAGACCAAGAAAGAAATACAATCCTTACGGTGACGACTTTGTAGTGGATAGGATAGATCTGAAGAAGATAGTGGAGGAAGTAGTGGGTCTAGAGGAAATAACTGTGTCACAAGACATTGACATAGTCGATGATCACGACGATGAGTGGGTTGACGACTGGTCAAAACCCAAGGTAGAATTCGACGACGAGCAACAGCAGTCATACGAACAAGACTTGACGAACCTGCGTGTCTTAGAGTGGCTGAATGAAACGACCTCGAATCCTGAGGAGACCAGTGTCACGATTCAAGATGTAGATCGTGAAAGCATGAAATACATCAAGACCGAACGAGACGATCCTTCCTGGGCTGCCCAGGAAGGACGACTACTCATTCCGGCTTCTAACCTCGACTTGATACCCGGTATGTGATCTAAGGGGACGTCGATGGATATTTTTGTCCGGGGAGTGGAGGTAGGACTTACCCACACTGAAAACTTGATAATAAAAAAAATTAAGAATAGCAAGAGAAACAGGAGACTTAGAAGCAGAGACAGGCGAAAAACCTAGGAAACCTGACATAGGCAGGGTAGTTGAGTCATTTTTTAACTTACAAAATGAATATTCAAGTAACATAATACTAACAGACAGTGATTTCATACTCACAAACAGAACATGTGCGATAGCAATCACAGCAGACATGAGTTTTAGGACAGCGTTAGCGGCAGATTTTAAGAGAGAATACAAAAACGTGGAATTCCTTTGGAAGCAAAGACCAGGGATAGGGGGCGTAGCAGCCTTACCTCCGGCGGCGTCGCAGATACCGGGAAAATACCTATGCTTCTTGGTAACGAGGGCGACGGAGAAGCAGCACGTGGACCCAGAGAACCTAGTCTTGTCCTTGACGAGGCTGAGGGACTTCCTTGTGGAAATGGACGTGAAAGAGCTCTCGCTTCCAGTGTACGATCCAAACAGAGGAAGACTGCATCCCCGGGAATTGTACGCGCTTGTACACGTGATATTCTCTGATACGAACATACAAGTATATCTACATAAGAAATATTACTTAAGTATAGGCTGAGTGATGTGCGAGAGAGTGTTAGGCCAAAGACTAAGTTGTATGTTATGTGTTATGTTATGTTATGTTATGTGTTAGGTTATTAAGATCATGGGTAAGTAGGGGTTAGTGACCATGAACAACTAAATGACGATCTTAGGAATAGATCCAAAGTTCGGACTGTCCAATCTTAGGTCGAATTCCAAAATTTTAGAAACCAATTGATTTTAATAAATTTTAGGATAAATATCTTTTTATCTGAACTGTTTTTAAGCAAATTTTAACGATATATGTTAAGGTGAAACTGACAAGTGTGATATTTGTGACTTATTTTCTAGATCCTGATTGACCATTTAATTACTCACTTGAGTCAAAATCTTGGAATCAAAACCGAATCAAACTTGAAAGAATAGAATGGATAACTTCAACTTGGATGAATTGATGGACCTGGCAGAGGCATATGTAGGACCGATGATAGATGCGATCTATCGTCGGCTGATCGATCGAGACTTCGCTCTGGAGGACCCAGAGGTAGTCATGTGCTGACCGCCCTGATCAACATCTTGGGGCACGACAACCGTGGGGACCGCCCCACGGAAGTCCTGTTGATGGCAGCATATGGAGAAAGAGGAGTACTAGACCGCCCGAGCATGAGAGTGATGAGGTGGAGAAACGGGGCTCTCTCAGGGAGTGACTTGGCGAATCAGCCTGGATTGGGAAGTTCTAGGACCTACCAACCAGGTGAGATGCCTATGCCCTCCAAGCCCAAACCTGGGTTGACGAGAATGCATCGGGAGATGAACAGCGAGGCGATCTTGTCTGGTTACCACTGAGACAGCTGTGCCACCAAAAAGGGGGAAAGTAGAACAGAAAATTCAGACGAACCAAACCATGCAAGATCTGGATGAGATGAACGATGAACTGAAAAGTACGAAGAAGGAGCTGGACGAGATGACCAGAAGCATGCTCCAGATGGAGGAAGATCGGGACATGTGGAGAAGGTTGTTTGAAGACTGCAAAAAAAGCAGGGTCAAGAGATTGAGCGCTTAAGGCAGGAATACAAAGAGCGATCGGAGCAGATGGCGTTGACAACGGCCGTAGAGAAAGTGATACCTGCAAGGGATATTCCTCGTGGGCAGTCCCCGATGGAGCTCTTGACGCCTCGAGAAATGAGTCAAACAATAAACAGGAGGCACCGACGAGAGAACAGTAACGGAAGTTAGATTGTCTAAAAGATTTAGATCTTTTTGAGACAATGTGCAAAATTCTAAACATTCCGATGGGAGTGAAGAAGATATGGGCGAGGAAACGATTGAGGCCATGGCTCAGAGCTAACATGACTGCATGTTTGTACGAGTATGCGAAGAAGCATATGTCGAAGCATGGCAGAGTGTACAGTGGATATTAGCTGGACATTGGAGCACGAGCTTTTAAGCGAGCTCTCGTGACTCGTCGGAATGCAGTGACCACCGCTGTGAAAAGAATTTCCAGGACAAGTGAACGTAGTGGAAAGGAGAAAGCAGAGATGCTGAAAGAAGATTTGGAGAGAAACGTGACGTTGTGTCTCCACAACAGCTTCTGCAGGAACAGAGAATCTAACGTGGATCCCCTACCTTGTTGCAAACAGAGGGTAGAAGAGCAGAAGTGTTGGAGGACGGCTTCCAGCAGCGTCAGGATAGCTAACGACGTGTTGCAGGATACGGAAACTGAGAGTGCAGAGTCAGTATCTCAGGAGGAAGAAATGGAACCTTGATGAGTGACCGAAAAACAAGATGCAAAAAGAGACGAAATAAGAAGAATTTAGAAGTTTTAGAACTTCTAAACGACGAAAAAAGAAGAAAACAAAGGAGTGATGAAGAAAAAGTTAAAACTCAGAATTGTTTTATGTGTGTGAAAAAACTCAAGTGAGAAACCAAGCAACCAAGTTGTAATTGAAAACTGAAACATTTAGTTGAGTTTTGAAATTGTTGCATTTATAAATTTGCATTTTGATTTTAGTCGAGTGGCTTTAGAGACACTGACTTACTATTTATTTAGAAAGGCTTAAGTGAAGGAGTATATTTAATTATTCCAGCCTGCATGACTGTTTTTAATCAGCTAGGAGAACCGATCACTTTGTGGTGACATGGAAGGCTTGAGTAATCTCTCGAAGAGGGAGATTATTTCATTGTTCTTGCTAACCACAGAGTTTCTTAGTTTTAATATTCAGGACAATAACAAGCAAGATTTCCGAAGTGAGAAGCATAGTAGGAAAATTTTAGCTTGTTGGTTGGCAGGACTGTCCTGCAAGCCAACACCTTTTAAATCTAATAGAAAAAGTTTTAATCGGGACATTGACACTGGAAGTCAGAAAATATGTTTTATCTTAAGTCATATTCTCAATGTGCAGATTGATGAAAGAATTTGAAGGCTATAGTGATGTAGTATGATGCCATTTGTGTTCTGCAGTGAGTCGATGTGACGTGGAAAAAGGTAATTTCGTGCATTTTGTAAATTCTGTTCGATGACACTGTATCTATTTTACGAACATTGCGTGATTCAATGAGGACATTGACCGGACTGTCCGGCGAGTATGTGACATTCGACCAGAATGGCCAAAATGCAATCTCTGCAGAATTCGAATTTTTAGCAGCGAGCCTTCCGGATTGGTGATTATTAGGAATTAAGAACGTTATTTGAACGATTGAACAAAACGTGAAGGTTAAAGGATTCGGAAATTACTGATTTTTAAATTTTCGAAGTGATTACGTAACATTTCTGAGAAACGTCAGAAACGGCCATTTTGGCAAAAAAGCTAGAAAACAACAGAAAAACATTAGCTGCGATCACGAGAAGCACGGAAATTGTGAGAAAAAACGACAACAAATCGCGGAGTTAACAGAGAGCACTCCGAGTTGCAACTATTGTGTCACTACAATAGTTGCAAGGCCGTTGCAGACAACGGTGAAGGGTGGAGAACAGCCTTCCGGATTAAGAAGAAATCAAGATTAGCGAGCTTGATTCAGTGGATTCAAGAATCCGGAAGGGTTTCGGAACTGAGACTTTTATTCTTTTATATAGACTTTTAGCTTCTTGTCATGTCCTGATTTGAATTTAATTAACAACTGGCTTCATTTTGATAAGGATGAGAAGCTAGGAGCTGGGGGGAAAGGGTTGATCCATCTTCGATGGAGATGATGATTTTTATCTACTGAACAAAAACAATAGTAATATAATAAATAGTAGTAGCCCTGTTTTTAGGAGTGACCTCGTGGTCTGGGGATACTGAGACTCAGCCATGAGCTCACTATTTCTGCATGTAATTAAGTTAATTTGAGTGTTTTGACCGAAGCCGAAAGCAGTAACGTTTTTGTCGACCCGATGTTAGAAAAGACCACCAAAAGTACTGGCTTGGTAGAGACGGTGAAAAGCATATAAAGCTCTGTTTAGACGTTAGCCAGTCGTCTTAGGACTTAGTTTTATTTTCCGTCGATATGTATCTTCCGGGCGAATGTTACAAAGACGCGGTTTTCTAAATACTGCTACATAGCCCATTTTTTTGCTATTATGCGGCTGATAACGCGAAGAGTTTGAGTGGCATACATCTGGAAATATTTTGCCCTAAATATGACGAAAATGACGCTCGCCCCTGGAGAGATAAAAACAGCTGTAAAAATGCCTAGGAGTTATGAGTTTAAAAATTCCCCCTAAAGAGGGCTTTCAATCTTTTTTCTACTATGATACGCCTCAAATCTCATGGTTTTTACAAGTCAATCGTAATTTTCTGGATTTCAGATGAATTTTTGAAACTACTTTCGATACTTGCCACAAAAAAAAAACAGAAAATTAGATAGGGCGATATGGGAATACCCAAGTTTTACAGATGGATCAGTGAGCGCTATCCCTGCCTGTCGGAAGTTATCAATGAGACCCAGGTAACTTGAAAGCACCTATCTCTTAACAAAATTTGGATATAGTTCAGGAATGAAAACACGAGTCGGGTTAAAAAAAAGTTTCGATTCTTGTAGTAATCAGCATCAATAACTGGAATTAGATCATTTCTAAAAATGGAAACTTCATGGAAATGAATATAAGAAAGTGGAGTTAAATCACACAAACAGTCAAATTGAAATAACCAGCGAGGGTTCTCAGACAAATAAACGTAGCCTAGCGTATGTATGAAGCTCGTCTTTGATGTTCAATATAAAATTCATTATAGTTATGCAAGAATTGGGCCATTTACCTTTATACCGCCTCATATGAATTTATATCTGACTCTTGTTTTAATTTTTATTTTTATCCAGTGCGTCCAATTTTGAAAAGTTCGTTCTTTTGCGCTGCTGCATTCGACGCCGGTAAAATCTGAAAACATTCATAAATTATCAGATGCGGAGATTTAAAGGGAAAGTGTCAAGAATCAAAGTTTTACCCTTCTGTGATAATTTTGTGATCTGCTTTAAGGTTCCAGAGTTTGACTGCTTGTACCTGGACATGAATGGAATTATACACGTCTGCTCACATCCAAGTGACGACGTTCACTTTAGAATGTCAGAAAAAGAAATGTTCGTGGATATCTGCAGGTACTCATCATATGCATTGCGCGAAAATTTCGATCTAGAAGCAGGAACTTTTTCATTCATGCACTGCGAAATTTCTGATATCTATTTCAAAATTGTTGATTAACACTGAAAACAAATAAGACATTTTATTCATTCGCGTAAAAAATTTGTGAGCTTGAATTTATTGAATGTTTAAATATAAGCAGTTTCACAAACATTGAAATCATTTTTTTCCCTAATTACTTCAAAAAAGTAAGACCCGAATTATAATGTTTTTAAACCTACTGTAGCGGCAATTATTTTGTTAGGTTAGCCAAAACATTTTTTTTACCGTAAATTGACCAGTTTCAGTCGTTTTACACCAAATTTGTGTATGAATTGCATAAAGGTCGACTACTTTTTTGGCTCATCGGACAACCTTCGTAAAACATGTATCTGAAATATGACCGGAAGGGCTTAATTATATTTGATCATTTATGGTTTGCTTAGAAATGCGTGAAGTAGACTAGAAAAACCCGACCTGAGGAGTAAATGCAAGATAATTTCATGGTCGATAAAACATTGGCTAAAAGATGTGGATTGTTTCTCTTACTCAGTTAAGAGAAATCGCTATCCCGCGGGTTAAGTTTTTTGTACATACATTCATAACTCTCGTTGTACATTGCATTTCTTGTCGTAGTAACATTCCTAATGTCCTATTGTTCCCAATTTTGTAACGAAAGTAACGGAATATTTGTGCTCGGGGTGGGTTTTTTTTCTTCAGACAAGTTTCGACTTTTTAACTAGCTATTTTTGACAAGATTTCTTTATATCATTTAGAAGGTATTGTTGTCCTGAGCTTAAATTTGAAAGGATATTTTACCTATGATCATTTTTTGTAAAATATGGGGGTTTACAGATTGCCATTTTGGCCAATTTGGGACAATTAACGCGCGATATATTTCAGTCTTTAATCTGTCATATATTTCAGTCTTTAATCGGAGATTTAATCAGTCTTAGAAATTGTTCCAAATTGTTTGAAGGAAGCTTATTTGTCATAATTGATTAAATAACTAGGAGCGAAAGCTATCACTTTGTACCGTACTTTTTATGGCGTGTGGGGGGATTAATTTTCACATAAAATCTCAAATTTGAACAAAAAAACTTCTTTTTTATTACATTTGATTTTTCTATGTTATTACTGCTCCGTAGATCTGAAGAGGCAGTCGGAACATTCAGGGCTTCGCCCTGATACGAGCAGTCTTTTTACTCTTGTGAGAGTGAGTGCCTTGTAATGGGAAAATTTTTCCGTTTAACAAACAAGTTTTCTTGCAAATCTATAAGAAAATGAGCATGCTTTATAACGAAGCTCACATGCTTTTGTGCAGCTGGCAATTTATTTCGAGGTTGCATGCAATGCGCCCTATTAAGGTATCAAAGTTTCGCGGTTTGAGTCCCGGATGCACCTCTTTTTTTGCTGCCTATGTATTTAGGTATTTCGGCTAATTGGTCTTTGTCTATTTTCGGCGAATTGGTCTTCGTCTACTTTAGGTTTAATATTGCTATATTTTTCTTTTCTCCAAACGCTTAATTTAATTTTTTTTACACCTGAAAGCTAGAGAGTGAAGTGTTTCATTACGAACCCAAGTTGCTAATTTCTTAAGCAAAGCTTGCGTTATAGCGTGAACTTTCTTTTTTTCCTACCTAAGTCCAAATAATGTTTCGAGTCGACTTTCGAGGCAAATATTGTTGCGACAAAATGTTTTCATTTTGAAAGTGTTCATTTTGATCAATAACCAGCTGTTAAGTACAGCCAATGCTAAGGATATTAACACAGACTTTTATATTACAAATAGCACTTTAGCTTCAAGGTATCATGAATCTGTAGCGTAGAGGTAGGGAAGGAGACCCTACCTCTACTAGTGTTGACTAGTGTTGCGGATTTGCTAGGGATCATGGAGCAAATGGGAGGACGTGAGAATGTAAGTCTCCAGCTCGGGGTTTCGGTTTTTCAAAAAATTTAGCATTGGCAATTAAATAGCAGCTGTTGTATCTCCTCTATTGATCGCTAGTGTTTTATTGCTGGAGAGGGCAAATAGAAAAAATTGCACCTTTTTCTTTTCACTCGTTACGTTTGATCGCTTGGATTTGCAAAGTGCTGTTTTGCCTCTGTCTAAATTCTATGTTTAGGTTTTTAAACATTGCATATATAACGATAAAACTTAGAATTTTATTTTATCTGACGAAGATTACTCACAGCTTCCTGGTGTGCAACTGAAGCTCTGTCGGCCTAAATTCCGAATTCATTTTATTTATTCAAATTCCGAAATTTTTTTTATTTGAGTGCGTTTGCGTGCATGGGAACATTGCTTGTTTTTCCTTTCCTCGGATTATTTTGTAAAAGTTGGCGTTTTGGGTGTCGAATTAGTTTTCTTGTCAAAAAAATCAACTGTGTAATGTTTTTTTTTAATCGAAAATCTCATTAAAAATCTACAACTAGTTTTAATTGTAGTTCTGTTTTTTTTGTGTGTAATTGCCCATTGATAACTGATCAACTTTGTCGAACAATAATCAGAATTCCAACGAAAATTTTCTAATTTAGTGTGCTCGGCTCACTAGTTGTGGGTTAAGCTTTTATTCCCTTATTTACTCTTGTCGTTGGGTTTCGTTCATTCAATACGGGGCAAGGTTAGTGAGTTAATTGATCTTATAATTTTGTTCTCGTTTTGGCGAAGGGTTTTCATTAGATATTAAATCGTCTTTTGTTAATTCAAATTCTACTTATTGTTCACCGAAATAACTGTTGAGTTGCGTCCAAGGAAAAATCAAAATTTTTTGGAGTTTTTCTCATTTAATACGCTTGCGATTAGCAAGCGTTAACAAATCGTAATTTAGACTTTTTTCCAGGTTAATTACTTGTATAACAGAGTTATTGAATATTTCGCCAATTCTCTCATCTTCAGTGAATGATTAATTGTATCAGCAAGTCTGAATAACTTGCGTCAACATTCCATTTATCAGGTGTTTTGCTAATTTGCATTATTTGGTAGGAAAAATTGCCAATAGAACAAACAATTTTAGTGCTTTGGATAACGCAGGAGGCAGCTCATCGTGCTCTTTAGACTTGGCAACATCGAAAGTCTCCAATTTTGAATGTATAAGACAGTGCTACGTTCGAATGAATTAAACTGACATCACTTTGAAATTTGCCAACAGGAGCAAAGATAGATTGAAAGTCAGCAGCAGTAGTTTTACCACTGTGCGTAATCGGGGAAAGACTTGAAGATTTGATGTACTTAAATAGTGGCCCAATGCTTCTGTTTTTTTTAACCGAATTGGCGTAGACTTTAAATTTTTTTAAATTCATTGATGGCGGCGTTTTCTGGCTAGCAACTGGTTAACAGAATCACTGAATTTTTTTGAGTCAACTCTGTTTATATCGAACACAACGGACATTTTTTCAGCATATATGGGTTTTCATTGTCTGCTCTATTTGAAAATTGCTTTTTAATTTGGTTGTAAATTTACCAACTCCAATTTCATATAATTTCATTTTTATGTCTCTTTTACCCGCTATAATTGGCTGAAAAGGTTTTGGCTAATGTTTTATGTCTGCTTTTCTACCATTTACTAATTTTTATTCTTAAAATGAGCTTAATTTAAGAGAAACTGAGAAATTTAATTTTTTATAAATCTAGTTGTTTTTTTTCGAAAAATTGTTTTTGGTTTCATTTGCTGTCGTCTAAGTTAGTCATGCTATGTTTGTGCTGAATCCGAAGTGGTGCTCCGCCTCGGTGCACCAGGGAATTCGATCCCCCGCCGACCCAAAGGTTACCCCTTTGTACTATTTTGAGATATCCGTTTTGTCGACGGACCCTAAAATGGGGTCTTTATAGTTATTTAGGAGAGCTCAAAAAATCAATTTGGTCGACCGAAAAAATAAGTCGACAAAATTTTTGAAATTTTTTGAAACTCTTCTCCCCTGCCTCTGTGTTTCGAGAAAATCCTAGATCCGCCCCTGCCTGACGACCAAATGAAAGCGCTTTAATTGCTGCCTGCCTTTTTTGAACAAGGATGTGCACTTAATCAGGAAGCTTAGGTAGTGGCAAATACTCTTGAAACAGTGTCCTGAGCCTGAATGCTGTAGTAAGCTTCTTGTTTCGGGTATTGCTTTTTGTTGGGCTGATTTTCATGCTTTTAGAACTCCTTTTTGCCTATTAATGTTTTTTGTTGTTCAGGTATATCGAAGTGCTGTTTCGCATCATATCTCCGAAAAGGACATTTCTGATGGCAGTGGACGGTGTGGCACCGAGAGCGAAGATGAACCAGCAGAGAGCGAGGAGATTCAAGACTGCCAAGGACACCCAGAAAAAGGAGAAGGAGGCCCAGGCCAAGGGGGAGGTGCTTCCAGATGAACCCCCCTTCGACTCAAACTGCATCACACCAGGTTGGGCTCATGATAAAGCTAAACAGTGTGAGCGACTTTTGGCTTTCTATTAAAGCATCACATTGCTCTTATCCAAGCTTTCAACCTATCATAATTGTTCCAATCACTCAAAAAGAGTGGGAACGGGAAGGAAATATTGTATTAGGGTTTTTTAGCAGATTTTAAATATCTTAAAGAAAGCTCCAAGGGCCAAGTTTCGTATCATTTTAAAGCCGCGATTTTAATTCGAAAATCTCAGAAAAATGTTTGTCGAAAAAAGATTTGAAATACTCTCACTGTTTGTTTATTACAAGGCTGGGTCTGTTCCGTTATACGGCCCAAAAATGAAGAAAGGCGTTATGGGACGGGGCAAAATCGAGCAATTTCTATCAAAATTTAGTTTGTCATTTGATAAAATAGCAATATTTTTGGTCCTTTTTTTCGGCGAAATGAGCTTCGGTATCAGCGGCGGATTTAGGGGGGGGGGGGCGGACGCCCACCCTCAGGGATTCGACCCCCTGCCGACCCAAAGGGTCCCCCTTTGGTACTCTTTAAGAAATCCATTTTTGGCCGACCGACCTTCAAATTTTTTAAAGGCGCCTTTGGCGCCAATGTATACTAATTTTGAGGGGGGAGCGCGCGCTGAAAAAAACGCAATTTTTTGGTCAAAATTGTCCAAAAAGTGCCTAAAACGCCTTTTTTTGGACTTTTTTCAAAATTTTGCCTGCGGCGCAGAAAATTTGGCCAATACAGGGACTAAACTGCGCTTAGGGGAGAGCTCGAAAAATCAATTAGGTCAAAGGTCGACAAAATTTTTGAAAATTTTTTGAAAATCCGCCTCCCACCCTCGAGAAAATCCTAGATCCGCCCCTGTTCGGTATAATAATGATTTCCAGCTTTTGTCTCGGCTGGTTTCATTTTCAACCAATCATAATTGAGCATATTTATCTCATTTGTTCCCGTTTTCGAAATTGTCTAAAGTATCTATTTTGGGCCGTATAACGGAACAGACCCTCAACTTTAACGCAATTTTTGCTGTTATAAATTTACATAAATAGTTTGCTTTTTACACGCTTGATCAGCTTAGTGTATTTTGACTTAACTCTAACTTAACTCGCGAATAAAAACAGTTTTTTTGTTTTCAGTTTTTTTCAGACTGATTAATAGCGCTTTTTTTTGAAAAATCTTTTCTAAGGAAGTTACAATAGTTATAATCTGCTCTAATTCAATAGAAAGAAAAGACACCTCCGTTTCTTGAGGACTGTTTGCGATGATCTTGTCATGTCTATTCTTTTGGACAATGGAGTTTCATAGAAGTTACATGATGAGAGCCACTTCCAGAATGCCATCCACCGCTTTTTTGACATACCATAGCATTGTATTATGAAATTTATTTGATCCCAACGGCAATTACATCGAAAGACATTGTCTCTAGCTGTGACAATTGTATCGCACGTCTTGTAGTTCCCGGCACAGGATACACTTGCCAGCTGCTCTGTTTCACTCATAAAGCGCGTTGAGCGCTGCGTTTTCAAGCTCATTTCAAATTTGACAAAAACACAGTAATTTTATCACAACAATTAGGCAATGAAAAAACTGAAATTTAGTCTGCCACCAAAGCAATGTTTCACATTAAATTCAAACTTTTAATTCCTTCGGCATTAACTGAAACAACCATTTTTAATTCAATAATCCAATTACAAAGTTACCGAAGTAGAAATATGAACTTTTTGTTTAATAAGTCTTGAAATAAGTTGTTTATTAGTTTTGTAATTTAAGTGATTAGAAATACTACAATTTGTAAATTTTTGTAATTAGAAATACTTCAAGGTTTTTTTTGGTTGAGCTTGATTTTTATCGAAGCTCCTTTTGAAGTTCATTTTCTACCCATAGCTCAAGTTATGTCGTGATTTTTGACCCTTCGTTTGAAATTAGTGAAATCGGGAACTAAGCATTAAATCTATATTTTTTCCGAGCATCACTTGTCTTTCTCATTCAAGCAGTTGCAAGAAATTGGAAGTCGCTCTGTAATTTGTACAATTACCAACCCATTTTGATTCTGCATACTATCTTTTTTTTTGCTTAAATGGTTGCGGCTAATGGTTATTTCAAGAAATTTCTGTTTCTGGAGTTACGGGGAGTAAACGGTTCGAATTTTAAAACATTTTAGCATAAAACTATCTTTGACCAAGTTTTGGTTTCGGCTCAACTGGCGTCAACCCAAAAATTGTCGACTTAGTTGTCGCCTGGTAAATGATTTTAAATGCTTATTTTACATTAGGGAATTTGTTGTGTTTTTGACACGTTTTATTCAGGTTGATCATTTTAAGACATGTAGTTTGTTACTTTTGTGATAAGCAAGGGTTTTACATCCGGTAACAAGTTTTTTCCGTACTTAATTTTGTTCACAGAATAATCATAATTAGAAATGGCAAATTTACTCATGTGCCATTAATATAGGTTTAGTGTGAGCTTGCCAAGTCGCTGTCGTCTTGAGTAGGTCGTTCGATTGCTTGCTATGTAGGTAGTATGTGCAAGATCTTGTAATCTGATTTTTTTCTGGGTGTTGACAGAAATCTTCGGTTGTTTTTATGTTAATTGGGTGTCAGCTTTAGTTCTGTCTGCTGGTTAAGTGTTCATTTATTTGGTGGGATTTTTGCTATAATTACGATCTGATGCATTAGAAATTTTGTAGCATCTATTCGATGCTTTTTTGCGGCTAGTGTTTGTGATTTATTAATTATCCGTGGCTGAGTGGTTAGTGAATGAGACTCATAGTCGGTCGCGGATCGAATCCGAGAGGAAGCCGTATTTTAACTAATTCGAGGCTTATCTCTACTTTTTCTTATTGCCTTTTAAAGAGCTGCTTTTTGTCGTGTTCTCGCTTGTGTTTACGAAGAGCAGTTTCGCCTCTGTTCAAAACAATCCGACCCTCTTAGTAAAATCTAGAAAAAAATATTATCTTTCTAATCCCTTTACCATATTGTATGAGGTTTATTATATTGTACCTTTACTATATTGTACCTTTAGTATATTGTAGGTCATGATAAGTTTTACTTTCAGGAAAGTCTTAAAAGTTTAAGTCGCTTAATTTTTTTTTTCGTGGTTTGCTTTATTTAAAAAAAAATTTACGTCATTTCTTTTTTTTTTGTTAAATGAAGGAAAACTCCACTATCGAGCAGCAAATTTGAAAAAGTCACTAAAAACGTTTCATAAATGGATTTCTCTTTTGATTCAGTTTTCTTCAAATGAGATAACGTTGTGAAAAAAGTGCCTAACAAGGAGTATTTGAAAGTCAAAGATCTTCAACGTGATATATTTTTTCGAAATTTGAAAATTTCTAAAAACTTTTCAGTCAACCTTGTTTTCAGTTTTCTTGTTCTTTTACATTTTTCTAACTGTGTCTGTTGGTTGTGTTGTTTTTTGCATATTTTGCTCAATTTTTCGTGTAGCCTTTGTGTTTATCAAAACTTTTTAGTCTATTTTTTCGATCAGTTTGAAAGGATGAATTTTGAGGCAAAACGAAACAGTTTTTGCAAGCCCTAAGTGACTAAGTGATACCAAATCTAGCAAAGTTTCGTTCATTATTTTGCTCACAATTTTAAGACTTTATTGTTTAGTCTTTTCGTCTTGTATAACTTTTGTATTTTTCTATGTCAATTTTGAGCATCGTAATTTTTTCAGAGTATGTTTTTTGGCTGCTTGATTCTAGTTAGTTTGTTAGTCTTAGCTTGTTTTCAAGCAACTTAGAACCTTGGTTCTGGTTATCTTTTTCGGTTTGACATACCATTTTGTCTGCAATGGCTTTGGGAGAGATTAAGTTTTGTGACTAGCCTATATAAAATAGGAAATTCTAAAATCATTAAAAAAACTTTTGAAAAAAATTGGCCATTTTTCAGGCTCACTCTAGGTGTACTCAAGTTTCGGCTGCATAATTATTGCCCGGAAAAATTTGTGTCAATGCTAATTTCAAGCTTGGGCGGATTTTCAAAAATTTTGTCGACCTTTTTTAGCTCGTCCAAATTGATTTTCCGAGCTATCCCAATGCACTAAAAAGACCCTGTTTTGGCCAAATTTTCTGCGCAGCAGGCATATTTTTGAAAAAAAAGCCGGCCAAAAAGGCGTTTTTAGGCCTTTTTTGTTAAACGTTGCACAAAAAATTGAGTTGGACAAAAAATAACTTCCTTGTGATTATACTTTGGTGAAGCCTGAAATTCGAAAAGCTTGGACTTAAAATCAGATTGGATTTTGGACTTTGAGGTTGCTTTAAATAGATAGAGTTATTGCTTAATAGGAACTGAATTCATGGACCGTCTGCAGCAGCACCTCAAGTACTTCACAGCCCAGAAGGTGTCCACGGATAGCAAGTGGCAGGGAGTAGAGATCATCATGTCGGGACACGACGTTAGTCGCAGTTCAATTTTCGTTAAGCTAACATTGCCCCAAAGAATTCTTTAAAAAATCTGCTTTTTCTGCCCTACGAAAAATTTTTAGTACTCATGCGTTTATCACAAAAAGTTACTGTCTACTATCAATTTTCGAGCAAAACATTTCAATGTAGTACATGAGCAGAGCCCTATCACAAAGAACATAATAGATTACTAGAGTAGTGAATCGATATTATTGTTGTGTTTTAGAGAATAGAGTAATTTTATAAGCCAAATTCTGCCAATTCCTGCTTGATAAAAACAGGTATTAAAAAATTTATGGGATCGAATTTTTTTTCTCAAAAACAACTATACTGTTACTAACTTTCTACTACCATGTGAAAATTCTGGGGGGAATTTTGACCCATATTTTTAGATTTTTTCCATTTAATCGAAATTTACCCTCCCAAATTTACCGTTTTAGGTCCAATCGAAAGAACGAGTTGTGGGAAGCTCCACTTTATAAGCGGTTACGCCCAATTTCCACAAAAAATTATGGTCCTCGGAAAAATCAAAGATTTTTTTGAAATTCCGACTTTATATTCGAAAACTATCCTCTCAAATCAGAGATTTTGGTATCATTCAGAAGTCTAGCTTGTGTGAAGTTCTCCTGCAGAAGCGGCCTAATTATTTTAGTGTAAAAATTATGGTTCTCGGAACAGTCAATTGTTTGTTTTGACCGTTTTTCTAACTTTTTGATTTTTCTCGGAAACTACCGTACAAAATCTGAGTCTTTGAGTTCATTGTAAAGAACAGCATTAGAACGTCCCCTTTTAGAAGCTACGCCCATTTTTATCAAACAAATTGTTAGCGTCCTCATTAACGTCAATTTTTCTAAAAAAAAATTACCGTTTTTTGAAACTGTAATTTCTCGAATCTGAGACTTTGGGTTCAATCGAAATAACGTGTTGTGGGAAGCTTTCCTATGTTAACAGCTACAATAAAAATTTTCAGCACAAAAAGCAATGGTTCTCGGAAAATTCAAATTTTTGAATTATCGATCGTTTTTTGGAAACTTGACTTTTCTTGAAACTACATTATCAGTTCTTAGGTTAAGTGTTCAATCGAGAAATTTTCTCTGCTTAAGCGGCCATGACGTTATTTTTGCAGAAAATCATTATGGATTTTGGAATGTCAATTTTTGGCCGTTTTTCATAAAACGAGAACTTTTCTCACAAGCGGCGACTCTTTAATTCTTTGTAAGAATTATGCTGTGTCTTCAGGAAGATTCCAATATCTAAGAAGTTTTAACTCCTCACACTTATTTTAATGCAAAAACAACTAAGGTTTTCAATTTTACTCCTTAAAATATTAGGGAGGTTATACGAAATGACGAAAAATAGAATTTGTTTTAAGCTCAAATTTAATTTATCGAGGTTTGAGTTTTGATTTATTTTCAAGTTCAGCTCATTTACTTGGTTAAAAGGAAGGCAAACTCCACCATTGAACAGCAAAAATGTAAAGGGTATGATAAACGTGATGGACTTAAAATTTCGAAAATGGAATATTATTATCAGATTTCCCAGCGAAATAAAAGTTTTACCTTTTGATCCAGTTTTCTCAAATTGGGTCTATTTTACCAAAAACGTGTCAATCGTAAATTGTTCCAGGAATACAAAGAGGTTTAGAAAAAAATTGCTCGCTTCAACTTGAAAGCGTTTTCCACCTTAAATTGGCGAGGGAGGAGGTTTTACGAAATAACGAAACATAAAACTTGCTTAAAAATATACTGCGACATATTTCTGAAGGGCGAACTATTAAAAGATTTGAGAGCTATACGTGTCTCATTCTTAATGGACCTGGCTATTTTCAAGGTACCACTATCGTAGTAATATCTACGGTAATCCTCCAACTATCCTACTAAATAATTTTTATGGGCTCTTTTCGGATTAAGTTAGCATCCTCACCACCTCCCCCCTCCAGATAGACCAAGTTAAGTCTTCCACCCCAGCATTAAATTTGCATTAAATTTGTTCAGCGCTGCATATAAAATGCTCGATTCTGATTGGCTGAAAATTCCAAACTTTGAACCAAGTCAACATGCTCCACCAGGGGCGGTTAACATGCCCCCCTTTGTACTATTGTGGTATCCATTTTTGGCTGACTTACCCTAAAGTTTTTTATCAAGGCGCCTTTGGCGTCAATATATACTAATTTTGAGGAGGAGCGCGCGCGCCGAAAAACGCAAGTTTTTGGTCAAATTTTCCAAAAAAAAAGCCTAAAACGCCTTTTTTTTTTTTTTTGGTTTTACAAATGGATATATTTTGCAATTAAGTTGAAATTGAAAGCGCGACAGTGAGTGAAACAAACAATAAAATACCACTCGCGTGGAATTAGCGGCTGATCGATCAGCGGCTGCATGATAATTAGCGGCTGCATGATAAATATGTCATATATTTTTTTCGCGAGTGCACGCGAGTGGTTTTTTAATTGTTTGTTTCACCCGCTTTCGTGCTTTCAATTTCAACTCGAAATTTAAATTGCCAAATTTATCCATATCCATTTATGGGGGGGGGGGGGGTGAAAGGGGGAGAGTTCTCATGCTGGAGAGACCGAATGCTGGAAAAGTTTCAACCAATCAATATCGCTACGCTATATATTAATTCTTATATCGAAGTCAATAATAACAGAGAATGATAATAAAACATAATAGATGCAAATATAAAAGGTGCAGATATAATAAATTTAGTTTTTTGTTTTTCCATTTTTCGTAAATCATATCTTTGAAAAGTTAACTTTGTTCCAATCCGCCTTCGATCCGGCTTTATTTTCATTCATCTGCTTATTGTTTAATCGCTCAGTTTTAACTTCAATGGCCTGGATTTTATTGCTTACTTTGAGATTTTTTGCCATTTTCCTGAGATTTTTGAATACTCAATTCTGAATGGCTGAAAATAAGCCAAAATAAATTTCCTAAGACCCCTTTTTCGTCCTGTTTTTTTTTTTCAAAAATTTTACTGCGGCGCAAAGTTTTTGGTCAAAATAGGGTTTTTATACTGCTCTGGAAGTGCTCAGTAAATCAATTTTGTCGACTTAAAAAAGATCGACAAAATTTTCGAAAGTTTTTGAAAATCTGCGATTTTATAATATTGAATGTATAAAAAGGTTGAGAACAATATACTGATAACATTGGTTGGTTTGCCTTATACAAATGCGATCTTTTTATTCTTAAGCCGACTTCTAAAATGGCCGAACTTCGAGGAGATACGAAGGTGGTCAATTTTTTCACTGGAGCTTTTTTTGTGTTTTTCTTGTAATCTGGATAAAACTCTGAAGCGAATTTGAAGTAATTTTGAGTAGTTTACCAAATATTCTTTAATATAGGCCAATTCGGCCTATTTACAAATTGACTTAAAATTGTGAACAAAATATTTTGAGATAGTACTGAAATTTGATTGGCTTATTCTAGCCAATCAGATGAAGCAAAATAATTTCAGTTCGAGGTTGAAATGGTGGCCAGTCAATAAGCAGAATGGTCTAAGAGCAGAAAAATAGAAAAATATCAATTTCTGTGAGCTAATCGGTAAATTATTTATCAGAATCGTAAATAATAGCAAAGCAGCGAAAATTGCATGCATATTTTGAGCAATTTAATCAAGAATTTTTCAAAAAATTTAATCAAAAAAACTTAATGAAATTAGTCAATTCATGAACAATTTATTCGTTTTCTTGGTATTTTTTGACGATTCTAATATTCGTTTTACCAATTAGCCCGTATAAAACAGTATTAGTCAATATTTTTCTGTTTTTCTGCTCTTGGGCCCATTCTGCACTTGGGCCATTCTCCTTATTGCTCCGCTTCCGGTTGAAATATTGAATTTTGGGTGGAATAAGTAAAAAGAACCGAACAATTGTAAACAGACTGGCGTCGTAACTTTACGCGTTTAGCCATAATTTTGTGTAAAACAACTAGAAAAATCGAACATTTGAAAGCTGGGGAAGCCAAAATTTTGAGTTTGGGCCGTTTACTTTACTCGTTTTTACGGTTTCAAGGCTACAGAATTCGGTACTTAATTTTTGGCATTTTTGAAATGCATATTTTATACAGAAATGGTTGTCAAAAATAATACATGCATAGGGGGGAATAGTTAACAAGGCCAAAGGGGGAGAAATAGTTAACAAGATCCAATAACTCAAAATGCGTCGGTCGGTCGTTTTAAAACTTTTTCTTAAACGTAATTAACCTGCCTTTTTCGCGCAAACTTATTCGATGCTTTAATTGTCATCATCAAAGCACTAACTAAATTGAACAACTTTAGGGCAGTCTATTTATGCTAGAATTCCAATTAGTTTCTTGGGACCCCTTTATCACACTAGTTTCTTGAATTCTACTGGGCTTGGTGGTAGTGGTGGTGAAAGGACGGAATAAAATGGTGGCCAATCAATAAGCAGAATGGAATGGTCCAAGAGCAGAAAACAAAATATAAGCTGATCGGTAAATTAAAAATAATAATAGTCAATATTACCAAAGAAACGAATATTTAAAGCATTATTTGAGTAATTTAATCAAGAAGTCTTAAAAATCAATGAAAAAAAAAATGATGAAATTATTTAATTCATGAATAATTTATTCCTTTTCTTGCTATTATTGGCGATTCTTATTCTTGTTTTGGCTCTTTTTCCTTTTGCTTATGAAGACCACATATGATTTTCATGGCCCAATTAGTCCGTATGCCGAATTCAACAACAATCCGACAATGTGAGCAAAAAATTACTCTAAAAAATTTTCAGGTGGGGAGAAAAGGAAAAAGAGCCCTTGTTTTTTTTAAATTAATTTACCGGTATTAATCAGTAAAAGTTAATATTTTTTCTGTTTTTCTGCTCTTGGACCCATTCTGCACTTAGACCATTCTGCTTATTGCTCGGCCTCCGTATAATATATAGAGCCACGAGATAAGTGTTGAAAGTTGAAATTCGTGTCTTTCGGGATACATTGCATGGACAATTGTGACTGTTTTTGAAACACATGAACACGCG